ATTTGCTTCATTAATAGGCCAGTTCTGGACTGTACCACCCATGGACAGCATGGGTAAAGCAGAAGGTGATAACTGCTCATCCCTGCCATGAATTGATTGAATAAATTGGTATGATCTGATTTTCAAAATACGGTTTTGTGATCACCCATTGCACTGTCTCGGGTGTAGCCATTCCTCCAGACTCTCCAATGCTTCCCCCCCCCCTCTTTTTTTTTTTTTCCAGTGGATTATGGGAGTCCTTGCCAGTTCCAAGTCAGTGGGATGTTTGACCATGGAGACATCCCACTGAATGAGTTCCACATAGATGGATATAACAACTCAGTTCAAATTGGGTGGTGGTGTTCTATTGGTATAGAAGGCATACCAACCTCCATTAGCCACTTTAGTTCTGTGGGATTGAGTCTCTACATATATCTGGTTGGGATTACTTTTCTGACTTATCCTTTCCCACTCCGATGTGCTCCCCTTCCTTTTTTACCATCTTTGTTCCTAGCTGTTCACAGGGCTGGCACTAGGATATTTTGCACCCTAGGCAAGTTGTCTATTTTATGTCCTCCACCTCCTCACCTGTTTTGCCCCACGATTCTATAGCTCTCTCAAAAAGACATTACCTAGTAATATTTATTTGAGGAAATATTTATTCGTAAAAAACAAAAACAGTTGAAACAGAACTGCATACATCTTAATGCAAAACATACAGTACATGTATAAAAAACAAAGTTCAATAATCTGACAAATTTTTACAGCTTCATACTAAAGTTGCACTTTTCATGCCTTTATCTTTGCAAATTGGCTAATCAGTTTTTCAGTGATTTCTTGCTCTATGGACACAGTTGCTAATCCAACAAGCCTTTTTTTGCACCATTGTTTGTTTATTGCAATGGATTCTTTTGCAACTTTTAAGTTGCATATTTCTTCAGTGTGTGCTTTCTGCATTGTGCAAAATAATAGAAAAGAAAACCATATCAGGGTTTGGTGAAATATTTCGTGGTTGCATTTTATGCTGGAACAAACTGTGGAGACATGAAAATATATTTAGTAAAAAGGTTTCTATACTGTAGCTATGTATGTGTGTTTATATGTATAATTTGGGGGATGCAGATTGTTTACAGTGTGCATGAGGTTGGTTTTAGGCCAAAATGGTGTGAGATTTTAGACCAACACAGGCTAAATAGTTATCAACAATTAAATATATATGCTGACACAGACAACTACAAATACCAGCAGCTAAACCATCTCAATATTGTACCACCATCTGTAGGTCAGTCAACTCACTATATATGACATCATAGGGAAATAAATATAGGCCAAGTCTAATGAAACAAAGATTTTGTGTGATTTATCACAGCTTTATTCATCTTGTGTGCTGATCAACAGCAGAGCTCTCTCATGTATAGGTTTCACATACTTGGGAGTAAATGCTACTAACATTTGCACTTTCATATATAAACACACACACGAGCAAACTCAATTGGTTTTTCAGGAAAATATTATTTCAGTGTTACTATAAAATTTTACCTGAGTTTAGAGAAAGCTGGTATGCAATGTCCTTTTAGCATCTGGATATATTAGGAATCCTAGTGCCCTTACATACACTTACTTTTATATATGATATGAATAATCAATCGTAAGTTAAGAATGTCCCCTTAGTGGCTTTCTCAGCCATTTCTTTCTTTAAGAACTTATTTTCAAATAGTAATAATCTATATACATATATAATGTATAATAATTGAAATGTCACTGAATTTTACAAAATACTAGTCGACTAAAACACAGCCAAGACAAGTTACTTTGTACAGACCAAAGGTCACCTTTACGTTACTTGATACGGTAACATGAGTGCACGTGAGCTGCATCGTTGTAACTTCAGTATTGTTAGCCAGGCATGGGTGAAAGGTCAATATAATAAATATATATATAAATGTATGATGTTATGAGATTTAAGCTATTTAGTCTATACATTTATGTTTTCGTGTTATAATCTGTATTCATTCTAGGATTGTTAGCCAGGCACATCTGAAAGGTCAATATAATAAAAATATAAATATATATATAAATGTATGATGTTATGAGATTTAAGCTATTTAGTCTATACATTT